GATGGCTTAAGAGACTGATCAACCATTACACCAAGATCCTTTTCTTTCATGACACTGTTAAGGTTATTCCCATCCAAATTATACTTATAATGTAAATTATGATAACCCACATGCATTATCTTGTATTTATTATAATCAAAACCCATTTGACATTTATATGGCCAACTCACTAAATGATCTAAATCCTTTTGTAAAGTAGCAGCATCCTCTTCACAGCTAGCAACACTCAAGACCTTAATATCATCAGCAAATTTAAGTAACTTATTGACAATTTCTTCATCTATGTCACTGATGTAAATCAAAAAGAGCAAAGGTCCTAATGCTTAAGTAGATGAGAATAATGGTGTAGATTTGGTGTATCTGGATTTTCAGAAAGTATTTGACAAGGTGCCACACAAAAGGCTTGTCAAATACTTTCTGAAAATCCAGATACACCAAATCTACATCATTACTCTCATCCACATAAGCAGTAACCTTTTCAAAGAATGTCAAAAAATGTGTAAGGCTAGATTTTCCCTTAGTGAAGCCGTGTTGACTATCTAATAAAAATTTGAACTTTGTTAAATGACTGTGCAAAGCATCTGTTATCAAACTTTCCAAAACTTTTCCCATAACTGATGTAATACTAATGAGTTTATAACTACTGGGATAATTTTTATTACCTCCGTTGAAGAGTTACATTAGCTAACTTCCAATCCTCTGGCACCTACTTATAAAAAATAGTAGCAAGTGGCTACATATCCAATCCTTAACCTCCTTGAAAACTCTTGGGTAAATATTATCTGGTCCAGGAGCCTTATCATGTTTTAAACTTCCCAATTTTTTCTTAACAAGCTCAGAATTTATGTAATCATATTGTCCGACCTTATTGCCATCTATCAACTGTTCAAAATGAGAAATACTGCTTAAATCTTCATTAGTGAACACTGAAGAAAAAGCAGAATTTAATAACCCAACCATTTTATAATCATCAGATACTAGCCTTCCTTTATCATCCCTCAAGGGTCCTACCCCATACTAGCATTTTGTTTGCCCTTAATGTACTTAAAGAAATCCTTGCTGTTAATTTTTACATTTTCAGCCAACCTTTTTTCATGCAAACTTTTTGATGTTCTAATTTTCTGTTTCTTAATCTTCTATAATTTTCTAAATCTCCTGTCATACGAGTCAATTTAAATTTCTTAAGTTTGTGATGCTTTTCTTTAACTTTATCTCTTATACCCTTTGTGAGCTAACCTGTTTTTTTTTCACTTCCAGCTACCCTTTATTTTCTATAAGGAATATGTTTATCTTGAATATTTAAAAATTTATCCTAAAAACTTTTTCCACATCTGATCAGTGGAAATAACACAGCTGCCCAATTCACAACAGATAATTCTTGTCGCATTCCTTCAAAATTTGCTTTTTTGAAATTTGTAACCAAAATATCATTAGTTCTGATTTCCATATGCAGCAAAATATCAAACCTAATACAGCAATGATCACTTGCCCATTGAACAGCTTTGTGCTTAATTACAAACAAACAATCTAGCGTTGTAAGTATTTGGGGGTATTTTAATGGAAATGATACAATGTAAAGATGATCAGAAAAAAGAAGCAAAAAAAAATTAAAAGATCAATAGATAAGAGGCAGAAAATTAGAAGAAAGATAAATAAACTTGATATAATGTTAAAAATAAAGAGGGAAAATGTTGATATGAATTCCAAGAAAAAAGACAAAATATTTACAAAATAATTTTGATCAGAAAAGTATATATATTTATGGTTATATTTGTAATTAAGCACAAAGCTATAAATTTCATGAAGGACGACATAGAAAAAGTTGAAAAAGCTAAAGGATATGTACAAAACGATTATAATAACAAATGTTCTGAAAAATAATAAAAATAAGATCGACCATAAACGTTATTATCATGTTTGAATTGATTCAACTGTATATACCTAACCGTTGATAAAGGTGTTAGTAGAAACGTCGGGTACATTAAAAGTTTTATTTCTCTGGAGTTTGTGGGCGTATTTATTTTAGTAATGATTTCTTATTTCCACGTGCATTTAGACGTCTGAGTTTAAGTAATAAATCGTTGCATAATCAAAAGAGAAATGTTCCAACCAAGTAGCCTTCATGAAGAAAAAATGAAAGTCGTTTGGTCAAAAAGCACTGCCCACATATTTCTCTTTACGTCACAGTAGTTTTACCCATTTCTTTATATACTTAATCATTCTTCTCCTGTAACTATATTTATTTGTTATCTGTCGATATAAGAAAGAAGTTGGATCGAGCGTGACCTAGTGGCGAGCGTGCCCGGACCGTGAATCCGAACATTCATGGTTCGCTTACCGCTATCACAAAATCTTACTCCGCACTTTCGACATGAGGTGCTTTATAAGAGTGATGGTCAACTATTAGAGTAACCCAAGACTTGACGGTGAGTGCTGTTCACTAGCTGCCTTCCCTCTATTGTATCGGTTCGAAATTAGGGACTGATATGTACAGACTGCCCTTGTTTCCCAATTACGCGAAAGTCTGAAATGAACGAGAAGGAACGACTATACACTATTGGGATGCATTATGTAAAGCTTTAAAGAAACAGTTTTCAGCGATTTTACAACTATGTTTTAAGCTATTAGCGCCAAGTGAACAGCTGAACAATAATAATAATAAGAAAACGCTTAGTACAGGTTATTAAAAGAGCTTGTGCTGGTGGCATTGTTTAAAGTTATTGGTTTCACTGATAAACTTGGAGATAACAGTATGTGTGTTTACAGAGTGTGCTCTCGTGTGAGTATACATTTACGGTACACGAATAAGCACTGTCTAGGAAATGACTTCCTTTCTAAAGTCAAACTGTTTTCTTTCTAATTTTGTCATGCTACTTGCTCTTTAGGTATTACGACACCAGCTGTTGCTTGTAAATCATTTTTAATAACATATTAGATTCAAACACAATAATATATTTCAATATTTATTATCTCTTAACATGCAATATTTTGGTTACAGTGTTTCAGTTAACTCATAAAGAGCAATATATGAGGCAATACATTAGCTAACATTATTATTACAGATAAAAATAGTTTATTCTGAATTTGGAGAGTGGCTTTAGGTCATTCTTGACTTCGTAAATGTAATGTAATCGGGACTGAAATGTGCTAAGTACGATAAGTAAGCCCTTAGGATCACATTTAAAAAAACGCTTAATTAACCTATGTTAAGTAACGTGTTTTATATCAGTCACCGTGGATGATTAAGAACATAGAACCAGTTGCATGCTGCGTCACATTTGAAGACAAAATTCTTGAGTTGATTAACGATTTTCTTAGAATCAAATTACATTAACATCATCCTTCCTATTTTTATTTTTTATTTTTTTAGTAATTAATGTCACCTCCCTTTATTTAAAATCTCAATAGGGTTTCATTACAAAATTGTTGATTAGATATATTGAAATGCCACAATCATGCGCTCGGCTTGTTTTGTTTTGAACTTCGCCCAAAACTACACGAGGCAGATAGACAACATCACCCGCCGCCAACGTTTGGGCTACTCTTTTACTAACGAATAGTGGGGATTGACCATCACATTATAACGCCCCCACAGCTGAAAGTTCGAGCATATTTGGTGTGACGGGGATTTGTATCCATGACCTTCAAATTGCGAGTCAAGCTCCCTAACCACCAGGCCATGCCAGGCCACAATCATTTGTACAAAGTATATATTTCCTTGTTTCTTGTTGAACTAAAAACTACAAAAGTGGCATCTGTATTGTTCCCACGACAGTATCGAGACCCGATTTTTAGCGTTATAAGCCTTCAGACTAACCGCTGAGCCATTGAGGGAGAGTGTAAAATAGTGATATCATTCTATATTAAAACATTACACTTGATTATATAAACTATGTATGTTTTCAGTTTCCCCAGTGGGACATCGGTAAGTTTATGGACTTACAATGCTAAAATACGCAGTGAACACACCAGATAGCCCAATGTGGTTTTGCTCTAAAACAAACAAACAGACAAACATTTTTTTATTTTTTTATTTATAAAAGAAAGATGTCAAAACTGTATATCAGTGTAAATCGATTAAATACCTACAGTAAGATGCAAACAACCATACACTTATAATTAATGAAGTATATTGCTTTTGCCCTAAATTTCTTACATCTGGTGATGAACACCATATAATCGTGATTTGTAGTTTTGTTATCATCACAGAGAAATCATTATAATAAAAGTCCCATCAGTGAGTCCGCGTTAACTTTACAGACTTACAGCGCTAAACTCCGGGGTTCAATTCCTCATGGTAGACAGAGTGCGGATAGTCCTTTGTGTTGCTTTACACTGAAAAACAACGACCATAATAAAAAAAAAGACTTAAATAGATTATTTTACTATGTAAACACCAT